TTTTCTCCCATGTTCATAAAGGTTTTCAATCCTGTTTAAAATGATGGAGGGGCTCAACTTTTGGGGTTTGTGAACACCTAAGAAAAACTGGCATATGCTACACTTTCTGTCATCAGCAGCTGATGCGAAGGATGGCTGCAGTGAGTTTTCGAGCGCACAGCTGGTTGATAAGCTTATCTTTTGTTATTTCGCTGCAAATTAATCCACCAAGGTAAACTACATGCTGAGTTTCCTCCGGGGTACGTTCTTCTTGTTCACCATAGCAGTTCCTACTGTTTTCAGTTTCGACCACCCCACAGATAATGCCACAATTTAAAAAAAAGCTTCTGTCGCCAAGTTAAATCTGATGACAGCTACAGGTGTGCCATGTGATCAAATGAGAGTAACTTGATTGGCAAAAAGTCGCTGGTCTCAATCTTGTTCCAATTGCTTTGGCTTGAGTCATCAAAAGTTCAACATAGTTTTGCATTTGAATTTGTGTGGGTGAATTTATGCTGTTAGCTTTTTTTACGGATGATTTTTAGAAGTTAATTTCTGCAGTAGAAACTTAACAGGTGACATTTCTGCTGGTGATTTTAAAGGAAACAAACCACATAAAATTAAAAACTGTTTCAAATAAAATTCCAAATCTACAAAAAGGTCTGATTCTAATGAGATTACAATTCTCAAACCAATACAAGTTACACTTTAAGCTTTTCACTGGTCAAAACAATTGAAAACTGTAAATCATTGTTCGTCCTCTAAACAACAAGCACTCGTTTATGGTGTTATTATTTGTTGTATTCTGAATCATTGTGGATTGAATAGATTCTTTAGAAATTACTGAGTAAAGAACAAAAAACTGGATTATTTTATGATGAAAGATTAAAATAAAAATTCCCTACAAAAATTTTCTCAGAAGAACCAAACAACTAAACAAACCAAAGTTTAAATATTATACAAAAAAAAACAAAATTCTTTATTATGTTCTAAACGTCATTAAACATTTGCTAATGTACAACTGCAGAAGAATAGCAGTGATTATTTTCCCCTCCCACTGTATCTGTTGTAAACTAACTTGTGCAGGTCTTGTTGGCCCTCCTCCTGGAATTTTCCTGAGTAAAGCGCGCCAGCAGGAGCTCAGAGCATTTCCGCATGAGTGGCTTTGAGAGCAGAATGGTCAAAGTTCCAGGTTCAAAGTCAATAAACTGCCTAAGCCTTAAGATGAAGGACCCTATCGGCTCCTGCTCTGTGAGTATTTCATGACTTTAAAATAAGCTTAATGTTTGGTTTGAAGATCTACCTAGGCAGAATAGTGGATTGAAATGCAATCTAATGTCAGACCGAGCACACGATCTCTTGCCCCTTGACTTAATCTCATAGAATGTGTCCTCTGATCTTCAGTATAACCAACTGTATCAAGATCTGAAACAATATTCAAAAAATGGGGATTACTTCTTCAAAGAACTTCTAACAGTGTTTCAGCAGAGGTGAGCTCAGTGTGTAGTTTTTCATTTAGCACATCTAAATGGATGCAGATCCTACTTTTGACTTTGCTATCATCCTTTGCTGCAACCTTTCCCGCCTTTAGAGCTGAGCTGGAACTTACGTACTCCAAAGGCCTCACAAAGCTGGCAGGAAAGCTGATCAAAGCATGCCAAGGAATGTCAAAAAAGTAAGAGGCACATTGTTGACGTTAGTTTTCAATTACTACTGCCTTTTCTCTGTTTACAGTCAAACATATTCCCTCCCTGGAGGCATACATGCGGTGTATAGTAATAATAGTCTAATGGGAAATAGCATGCACTCAGCGTGTAGAGGTGATCAAAAACAGTCCTAGGTTGGGTTAATTAGCCCACAGCTAACCTTTTCCTGCTGGCTACCGTTTCAGTTCCACCTATACCGCCTGGTGTCAACTGTCAGACGAAATGTACTCAAGAGCAGACGCCCACAGGTACGTTTGACCCTGATTTCACCTTGTGAAAAATCCTGACCTCACATTGGAACAAACTGGAAGGAAATTTGGTGGTATGATGTTTTCTTTTCAGAACATTAGGGAATGCATTTCACCAAGAGGCCACTGTGGAAATACGCCAAGTCTTAGATGAGCACACCAGGAGGAAAAGGCCTGTGTGTAATTTATTGTTTCTTTCTTTTCTGAAATATGCATTTAAACTTGCAGTCATGTTCTGATATTTATCAGAAGCCTCTTGTGTTTTAATAGCTTGACAATGCCATTGAGAGGACTGGAAAACTTTTCACAGCCAACTGGAACGAGCAAATCAAGGTAGGAAACGTTTGTTTCTAATCAAAAAGAATGATGAATAAGTTGTTAGATATGCTTGAGATAAAAGCATCTGTGTTGTAAATATAGCAAATCAAACCCATAAAGGGTTCTGTGGCTCTGTTAGAAATTTTAGAGAAAAGTGACCTGGAGGAAAGGAGGTTTCTGTGATCTTCCAGCTCAGCTCAGCATCAATAAGTTGATGTTGTCCTTGGATGAGCACATGGCTGCACTCTCACTATTCCTTTTCACTCTGTAAATCTGACATTTAGTAAAATACATTAGTTTATCAGAGATGGAAAATAAGCTGAGTACACAGCACTGGTGGGCTGCTTTATGGCATGGTGTGGAAACAAACATCTTATCCTACAAGTGAAAAAAAAAAAAGTTGGCTATAGAGTATAAGAAAAACAGGAATAAGTCAGACACTATTCCATCACCAGTGGAGTTGGTGGGAGAGTATAAATACTCAGCGTTAACAGAAACAAAAATGGTATGAGGCCATCTACGAGAAGGATCTGAACAGACTTAAAGCTGTTCTTCAGTGGTCCTTTCATGTTTGAAGCAAAATGCTTCATTACTTCTTCTATCATCTAGCAGCATCAGATTCATTGGCCTAAAGAAGCTCATGGGCGACCGTAATAAATCAGTGTTGTGGGGAGGGAATTAAATGTTAAAATTCCCCTCTCTTTTGTTTTTTTTTAAGCAGTTGTTGTAGGTGTTGATAGCTGTAGGCAGGAAGGATCAGTCTGTCTTGTACCAGATTTTGAGAAGCATCTTACTGAAAACACTCTGCTGGTGTCTAACAGTGTGATAATGAAGAAGCTCACTGTGGTCCATAGTGTTCTTCACTTTATGAAAAACATTATGAAGCATATGGCAGAAAAGATCACTCTCACCAACAGACTAAGATAAGCCATGATGATAATAGGATTAATCTATTTCCTGGCTCTTCTCACAAGTTACAACAAGATTGAATTTCTCTTTGGTGTCAATAAAATAAATTGAAATTCGTGCAGAGCTCTCAACCAAACCTTTTCTTTCAGGTGAGGTCTGAACTTTGACTGGACCATTGCAACACCCTGTCAGTTATTATATTTTTTAATTTCTTTGTATGATTGGGATGATTGTCTCTCATGTAACCTGATTTGACCCGGCGGTCAGAAAGATAGCGGCAGCTTTGACTCAGAAAAGCTTCGGTGTAAGGAGGAGTTCATAGTTGACTCATCGTCTGCAGATGTAAATACGTAAGACTGTCCTGTGGTAGAAAATGACCCAAATCATCAAACCTCTACCTTTCTTGTTACCAGTTAGTATTCGATGTTTTGCTATGCTGAGTTAAATCTTTGTTTTTTATCAATGAACATGGTTCTGGGCATACTTTATTCTCAATTGTTCATTATTCAACTTTTCTAAAATTAACTAGCAGCGGCAATGGCTTCTTCAAAGTCACTGAGGATGTTTTTCCACTTACTCTTAACACACATTATCGTGCTTCAGCCAGTAAATTATCAAAACTTGTCAGTTTTGTGAAGTTAACAAGTCGGCTGATAACAGATAAATGTAATGAATCTGACTGGCAGCACTTAGCTGTAAGGTTACATCTTTAATCGTGACACATTTTTCTTGTGCCCCACAGTTGTTATAATATATCACATTTATCCAGGCACCTAATACCAGTTATAACAGTGGTAAATTATATTCCTGTGAATTACATATAGCATACCGCTACAGAAAATCATTGATAGGCAAGACTGATCTTTAAACCGAGCTTTCATCATTTTCTTTTCATATAATATGATTACTTTTACAGCATGTGCCTCAATGAAATATGCCCTCCTTGTTATGCTTGATGTTAATGGTTAAGCTAGACATTTGCATACACTGTATTATTACACGTCTTTCTTCTCACTGTATTCATTTAAATCAGACTTATTTATTATAACTTTAGGTCAGTTTGGATCATTAATATCATTCAACTTTTGAGTTTGAGACCTGTTTGAGTTTTTTGGATGAGAAGAGTAAGACAGCCTAGAAACCTGTGTATCACCTCTGTGTACATGTATCAGGAAGAATTGTCCCAAATTTCAGTAAACTATTATGAGAGGCTTGTGGAATAAAATCCAAAATGTTTGACCGAAGTCATACAACTTTAAAAGAAATTCAAACACTCATATGTGCATACTTTTAAATTTAAAAAAATGTTATTCAAAGTCTGTATTTCATTATTCTTTCCTTATCAAATAGAAATAATTCTTAGTCCTCACTTATTCATTTGTCTTTTTTTTTTTTGCAATATAAAGAAACCTTTTAAAAGAATGTCTAAAGCCCTGTTCAAAGTTTAATCCTTCCTTTGTTTACATATGACTTAACTCAGGTGTGGTCGTTTGTGCAATCTTTATAACCTTACTCTTTATGACGAGAGTCCTGCAAAACCTTTTAGGAAAAATGGGTGGATCCATAATTTATCACAGCTGTCGGTTTTAAGGAGCATAAACATCTCATCTTTGCCTCCTTAGAAATCCAAGGAGGGCATCTTTAGTCAAAATACCAAAGCCTTTATATCAGAGGTTCCCAAACTCTTCAGCTTCTGAGATCACAGAATAGTACCAGAGTTGACTCATGGCTTAAAGGTATAGCGGAGGATGTTCCTTTTTTTATCATCTAAAAAAGTGGTTTTCCTAATTGTCAGTCATTCTAGTGATATGTTTACGTAAGGCCGTCTTACATGCTAGGTGGTGAGTCTGACATAATGGAAAAATTGCAAATCTTCTTTGGGAAAAGTAAGCTTTTATTAGCGATGCAAACAGCAACTTTTAAACAGAGTATGCACGAAGAGAAATTGGCCCATGCATACTCTTGCACGCTTTTAATTGGCGTTCCCTCTCAGGAGTGGGCACGGGGGTTTTGCATGAGGCATTTACCGGTATTTTTAAAGTGGAGACTGTGGGTCTTTAAAAAAATTTGCAAAAATCCTCCACTATGCCTTTAAAATATGGTTGACTTGTGAAGCATACAAACATTTTTAGAAAATCAATTAAGTAGTAATACTACATACAGCATCAACAACCAAAGCAGTTGGTTTTGTCCATTTTAAGGGATGCTTTATTTAAGCATTTAAAGGTATAGGTGAGGATTTTCGCAAATTTTTGACAAGACCCACCTTCTCCACTTAAAAAAAAATTAAAAATACACATGCACAACCCATGCACCAGCCAGTTTCTCCTCGTGCACACTCTGTTTAAAAGTTGCTGTTTGCATCGCTCATACAAGCTTACTTTCCAAAAGAAGATTTGCAATTTTTCCACTATGTCAGACTCACCACCTGTATGTGAAAATGGGGACGAGCACGTAGGACGGCCTTATGTAAACATATCACAAGAATAATTGACAATTAGGAGGACCACTTATTTTGATGATCTAACCTGAAAAAATTAAAATTTCCACTATACCTTTAAACTTAAATGTTTGTTGTTTAGTTTAATTTTGCTGTCCATCTTCAGACATTCTACAGGTTGATCAAGAACCTCAAGTGGGGTTATGACAATATCAATTCTCTATATTGTTCATTTTCTTACATTTTAAACCAAACTGTTTAGATTGCTATATGAACAAACTGCCCTACTCTACTATTTAAATGAAATCTAATTTGCTAACAACAAGTTATTGCACTTTAGTGAACAGTGAAAGCGATTTTGTTCCTCCCTTTCGGTCTTTTTTTGGTGCCATTCTCTCTTTAAAGCAGCAAACAGTTACTTTAAGATAAATACTCAACTTGTATCACTCTTATTTACTAACTCAAATCACCAGTCCTAACAAGGAAACATCTGATCTATAGTGTTCACTAACAGCCAGATGTCTTCTGGTTTTCTTTGCTTTAAAACAGCTGAAAAAGAGATTGCATGGGCTAACAAGAGAACACGAGGCACTCTTCAACTATCTAGAAAACAACAAGCACATCAGCACTGAAAAAGAAAAACAAAAGGTATAGATGACTGCTTTTATCCCTCCTAACATTTTATATCAAATCACTTTTGAAAAGTGTGTTATTGTTTTGGTTTTGTTTTTTTCCTCCAGATGTTAAACAGGCTCACTAAGTCAGCAGAGCAGCAGTCCCAAGTGGATGAACATTACTATAGTGTCAACATGGAAGGTCATCAGATGAGGCTGAAATGGCAAAACACACTGAAAAACTGCTACCAGGTGAAGAAAGTACCCATCAGTTTTTTTTCACATGTATCTATTTACAGTATCAGTATTCTGTAAAAGTTTAGAAAAAACAATCCACTGGACTTGGTTTCCAAGGTTCCTTGAAAACCAAGGTAAACCTTGGAAACCAAGTCCAGTGGATCGTTTTTTCTAAACTTTTACAGAATGACTATGACCTGGATGACTGAGAATCTTCATCAGCTATTTATCAGTATTTTTTGCAAAATAATTCAAATCAGACAGAAATTAATTACATAATTCATTAGATGTGCAAACACAGCTCTTAAATGTTTGAACTGTATCGAACTGTAACTGCATGAAGCAAGGAATAACCATGCAGAGGGAACTCACAGCTAGCTCCTGGTGGTGCTTTGCAAACCTACAGTATTGTTGTAAATCGATGTTGAGCATCAATAGGTTTGGCATCAGTACCAATAATTCAATTCAAACATATTTCATTAATCTCAAAAGGAATTATAAATATTGCAGTAAATCATACATTTCTTATTTTAAATAAGTTCACAAAATAATTAGTAAAAATGTTAGTAATGGTAATCAAAACTGGCAATTTGTGATTGTGGCATTATCAAGAAATTTTAGCTGAAACATTCTCAGGTTCAGTCAGTTGTTGTAGTAATACCTGCCTGGGTGTGGTCCTTTACCATTGGAACAGTAGCTGAAGGAATTAACTAACATGCTGGGATTCTCAACCGACGACTAACATATATATACTGAAATATTCCTAAAACCGTTCAAAGGAGTTTAAAAACAGCAGGAATTCATTAACATTTAGCAATTCTAATGTCGGGATTTCGTTCTATTTTCTCAGATCACACAGGAGCTGGAGAAGCATCGAATTGAGGTTCTGTGCAAACTTTTGAGCAGATATAACCTCCACATGTCAACTTTCAGTCAAACCCTTAAACATGTAAGAAGCCTATCCTTTTACCCAACAGATGACTCTTTGAAACACCATCTCTTAACCTCTGCTTTCTCTGCTGCCTTCAGGGCCAAAAGCTGATAGAGCAGACCGTCAAAAGGGTGGACATGGACAAAGACATGCAAACCCTGATAGATGAAAGTTGCAACATAGATGAGGACAACAAAATAGAGTTTTTGATGGCCGATTATTTTGTAAGTCTTTTGTTTGGTTCTTTGCTTGAGGTTAAGGTTGCCTATTGGCAGTCGAGAATTCTCCATCTTTATTACCTGATAAGGAGAATAATTCATAATCCCCTTAATTAAGGCAAGTTGTCCAGGCGCTGAAGAAACAGAGCAACCTAAGACCACAACTATACCAGCTTATGGTTAAATTATATAGTTATATAATGATTGCCTTTCGTTCAGTTTCTAATTACTGTCATCAGTCCGCTGAGCATTTTTCTAAGAAGTCTTGTGGCTCATCAAGATGTTTTTGGTAAATGAGAGACACTCCTTTGTTCTTTTAAAGCTTTCAGACTATATTCCTTAGTCTCCTGACAATTAAATGATCAGAGCTGAATTTAACTGGGGCAAGTGAGGCTTGTAATTCTAGGAATGAGAAGTTGGATTCTTTATTGACCTAAATAATTATTAATGATTTTCCTCTTAGAGTAATTCTGGTAAACCGGGTTCTCCTTAGAAGATTAGGTATCGTTCCATGTTTTCCCCTATTGTAGATATTTCTTACAGCAAATAACTGAATACTAAACATTAATAAGCGCATGTTGATTTGAAACTAGGGTCATGGCGTGAATTGATTTAAACTCAAATTGGTTTACTTGTTCATTCAGGAGGAGGATACCAATTCACGAATGACAAAAGAGAGAAGAGGAGATGCGATCAAGCTGAAACTTAAGCGTCTAGAAGAAAGCATTGCAAAAACAAAAAAAGATTGTGAAGGTAAGTTCAATTTATTACTAAATATATAGAGCACACACTCGAGGGCGCATGTCTTCATTCTAATGTCTGAGTATTGGTACAGGAATAGAAAAACTGATGAAGACATATGGTGAAAATCCATCCTTTTCAAACCAGAAGAACCTTGAGGAAACCGAAGAGCAACATGATGAGGTAAATAAGGTAGAGTGTGTGCAAAGCCCTCCCAAGGCAGTTTGCTTTATGGAGGGGAAGCAATTGACTGTCTCTAGTGTTCACTAATATTATTGGTTACCTACAGAGTACTCTCAAGCTGGACCTCTTGGAAGCCACTCATTACAAACTCTCCTTATCCCTCTCTGAGTCTGAAGAAAAACCAAAGACATTTTCACGATTTAGTGGCAGTATTTTCAAATGGAAAGATAAGGTAATGTTGACCAGAATTGCAAATATATAGCAGCCTTGCATGGAAGGTCAGAGATATGAATGCAAACCGTATGAATTGACTGATTAATGAAAAACCTTCAAAGGAAGTGAAACTATTTGTGCCCATATCTGTTGTAGATTTAAAAAATTATACTGGTTGGTGGTTCAATCTGGTTTAATATCTAGAAAAAAGATATTTGCTATAAATGGAAAACATTTAATAAGCCTTAATGTTGTGCATTTAGTATCTGGGATGACAAAAGCAACACTTTCTGAGTAAGAAAGGACATTATTTACATTTTAAAAAAGTGTTTTCATTGATTCAGTTAAATGGGGAGTGGCAGCCAGGTGGTGAGGGGATATAGCTTGGAATTATGTTATGAGTTTGAAACCCATTCCCACAGACTGCCACTCTGGGTCTCTGAGCAAGACCCTTAACCTCAGAGTGCTCCATGGGCACTGCAGTGGCAGCCCACTGCTCCCCAAAGGGGATGGGTTAAATGAAGAGTTAATTTCTCCATTGTAAGATCAATAAAGTTCAATTTATTTAGATTTATTTTTTTAAACCAGTGGTAGTTGTTGACTCCCTGCTGTCATTACTTTCTTACTTGTGGATCACATAAAAATAAAATGCAGTTTTTTCACTCTCTCCATTTTCTAAGGGACAAAAAAGTATATATATATATATATATATATATATATATTAAAAAAACTTAATAAATGTAGGGGATTTGTACATTACTATTTGAATTATCCACTTTATCTCTGACTTCACTTGCAGGGTTATTATTCTTATTTCAAATATCTTTCAAGTAATGGTTGATAATCCTCCCCTTTTTTTTTCCTCTAAGGAGTGTGAGCATAGCATCGTTCAGCTGACTCGTCCAGTGAAACTCCGGAGGACGCCATTGAGAAACCGGCAATCACTGAGAGCTTCTGTGATTTACAAAGGACCGGTTCAGACTCCAACAGAACCAACGGTCGAGCCCACACCAAATGCTACCGACCCCATTACTTCCACAACACCAACTCAGGAGACAGTGGAAGCCAGTGACAGCGCTGCTAACGAAGCCCTGCCTACTAGAGATGATAAAAAAGAAGGTAAATAATTTAGTACATCTGGTAATAGTTTACCACCTTATCACTTCTGATTATGGAGTTAAATGCAAGAAATGTATATTGAACAGATGAAACAGCAGAGATGTCATGCAGTATTGGGAAATGCAAAGCTCTCTACAGTTTCACACCTCAACATGATGATGAACTACCTTTTAAAGAAGGTAAGCTGTACCCTTAAAGCAAAGAGCCCTAAATAATGATTGAAACCTTTACTGGAAAACAATTTCTTTCTCAGGTGATGTTCTGGACATTTATAAGAAGGAAGAAAATGGTTGGTGGGTTGGTGCTCTTAATGGGAAAAAAGGCCACTTCCCATCAACCTATGTTGAGGAGCTACCTACACTGAACACCATCCAGTCATCAGACGCCTGAGGAGATAAAAACACTCAATAACATTTTAAGTTTTTATATGTAAAGTTGTCTTTTCACATCCAAGTTGTGTTCTTCTACCAATAGTCTTGATTTTTTTTTTTACTGCGTTACATGCAACATTTAGGATTAAGGCTGTTGAGACTTATTTTCAGTAAATGTTTTTATAATACATCATGTACAGAGAAACTCAAATGGTGAAAAATCTTAAAGAGCATAAAGTTTATTACATCGATGTACAAAAAAATGAATATAAATGGTTGGGGGTGGGGCAAGAAAAACAATTTTAAAAACTAATAAATGAAAATTGTTTACAGATAAAAGGTTTGGTTAATGTGTCAAATCATGACATTTGGCTCATCAAATGTCGAGATTGTGAAATTCCTACGTGTGTAAAGTTGTGTTATAGCATAAAATCACCAAGTTCTTCTCAGCGAGACACAACTTGTTTTTAAAAAAAGTAAAACAGCACTCTCAGCTGCTATTTATCATTCTTTTCTTCAGTCTGCATTGCAGTGAAACCTGGTCAGCCTGTTGTAGAGCAACCATCCGACCTCAGGTGCGAGCCTTAGAGATGAACTCCTTTCTAACGTTGGCCAGAAACGCTGCCAGATTATTGGTCTCCTGGAGTCGGCTTTCCAAGACTGGCAAGTTCTCGAGCACAGGGTCGCTGGACACAACTGTAATAATTGAGTAAAATTTTATTAGCTTATTTAGAATAATAAACTGTGTGGATATTTTTTTTAAGATAGCAAAAATATAAAATTATAACCTGTGCGTGACTTACTCTGGTATGTTCTGTTTTCTTTCATCCCCATTGTAATGACATAAGCGTTGTCTGGATCAGACAGACTGATGTTTCGGAAAATAAACTGCAACTTTTCACCTATTAGGAAAAAAAAAAAGAAATTTTGTAACATTTATTTCACAACCATTTTTTAATAAAGGTTGGCTTTACAAAGGTATAAATGGATATACTAAATAGGGAAGTGTATATAATTATAAGGAGTGTGGCCTAGTGGTTAGGGCATTGCACTTGGAATCCAGTATTTCTGAGCCACTCTGGCTCCCTGAGACCCTTAACCCCACACTGCTCCTTGGACGCCCCACAATGGCCGCCCACTGCTCCCCAAGGGGAGGGTTAAATGCAGAGAGTTAATTTCGTTGCTTTGTACTTGCGACAGTGTAATGACAATAAAAGAAAAAGCTGAAGTTGAAAAAAACTAAATGTTTATATATATATTCATTTCTCAGTCAGAGGAGAACATTCAGATATGGAGCCACTTTATGAAGGATCTAACAGCCAGACTCTTAGCTAGTAATGCGTACGGTCACACATTGTATTGCCTTTACAAAAAACTTCCCTCAAATGTTCAAAATTTCTCAAGCAGCAGATGCTGGAGAAATTGAACTTTTGCTGCTCGACGCACCACATCAACCAATCAGAGAAACTGATCTGGGAGCTGGCAGGGAGACAGACAAATCTGCTGATGCAGATCACTATGATGACTCCTCTGAAACCGTTTATTAACGCCTAAATTAACTTAAAATGTCGAAACCTGTCAGCAAAAGACATTCATTTTATTATTCTGGTGCTTGCATTTGTGCCACATACATAAAAAAACGCTAACATCTACTTCCAGCCACAATGAAGAGTAGGGGAAAACCCCCAAGAGGTGTGTGGGGGTCTACATGCCTCCGACAGCAAAACAATATTTTAAGACAGGATTGTAATCTTGATGACCTCACTGCAGGGACCATGTTTTGAGGTGGACTTTCTCGCATAAAAACATATTAAAACTACTTTTTCCCCACCGATCATATAGCAAAGCCGCACCTGCGATTGAACACAGGAGCAGCAGAAGCATCAGACATATCTGTACACTTTACTGGACACTCTTCAGAAGCAAAAATTAAGCAGCAGGCGCTTTTTTTGCTGCTCAAATCGCTGTGTGAACGTTGCATTACACTTTCTTTAAATTAAACTATAAAACATTATATTGTACCTAAAAAAAATCTCGTCTTCTTTATGAATTTGCACATATACTTCCCATAATCAGGACAAAAGTAGGGCTGTAACAAAGACAAAAAGTTAGCTGCATTCCACCTCAAAAAGCAGGAAACAGCGTTTCCATGAGTCTAAATTTCCCTATACTGCACAAAGCCTAAAGATGTGATACACCAAGGTTTACACCCTACGAGATATTCCTAGCTAAAAGCCTAGAAAAAGCTGTTCGATGCAGCATCTACAGTGTGAGTTAGTCAGGAGTCAAGCACCAGTAAGGCAAAAAAAATAATAAAAATTTGACGAAATATCTAAATCATCTAAGTCTGTGTATGAAAATCAACTAATAATAGTTTTATTTAGATTTAAGTTTTGTTTTGTGTGTTAAAAAAGCAACCAAGACTTTGATCATGTCTTTACATTTTGTTTAAAAAGTAAAAAATTTGGATACCAATATAATAAGCATACCACCTTCCTTTTTAAACTAAAGGACTGGACTCCTTACCACTACCAATGACATCCAGCACCCAGGCTTGACCCAAGGCATCAGTTTATATGTCAATCTTTCTGGTGATATGTTTACTTAAGGCCGTCCTACATCCTCGTCCCGTTAGCTATTGTATTTCTGGGCGTGCGCACTTTCAGGCGTATATGTGTGGTGAGCTTCAGTTTCAGCCAGTCATTGAAGCTAGCCTTTCTCACTGTGGTTCTTTGAAAATGGCTGAGGGTCATATAAGAAAAAGTGTCTACGAAGTGTAAGTGACGAAAGGCCTCAGAAGAGGGAGACATTTCCCAGACTGCTTTCTGCGAGAGCTCTTCTTGCAAAGCATTATGGGATTTGTTATCACAGCGGCCCGCTGTCGGGTAATTAAAAAATTTTAGCTTCTTAAAATAAAATAATTAGACCATCATCTAAAAAGTACTTAAGCTACGCTTTTATATTTCTTACAAAGACGTTTTAATGTTTTTGACAAACTGCTTTTATTGCTCTGGCAACATGAAAGGCGATTTTCTCTCTCCTAACAGCTGATTGCCTGTCTACGGTCTGCTTTACTTACCTCTGACTGACTGTGACTTGTCCATAATTGTTCGAATCTCCAGCCCCAAATGATTCTGGAAAACAAGTCTGGCTTTCTGGAGATTTTTCAGCTTGTCTTTGTTTGCTCTATTCTGTGAGTCGATCACTAAAAAAAAAAAAAACAGTCAGACTGTAGGGCCCATTAAAACCTCTGTGATACATCGTTCTTAGGGTTAAATCTCTAGATAGATATCTTACCCTCTTTTCTCTTTATTTGTTCTTCTTTAAGTTTCTGAATTTTAAGGATGAGGTCTTCTTTCTGCATCTCCTTCTCCTGAACCTCAGATATTGTCTCCGATATGGCGTGCCGTTTCTCCTTCAGTACCATTTTCTTTTTCTCCAGGTCTGCAGAGACAACGTGTTATAACAATAAAAAGCCAGCATACTAAATGTTTTGTGGAGGTACTTTAAATATAGTCTCCTTGTCTTAAAAAAGAGATCAGCAGTTAACGCTTATGATTTATTGGTATTGCACAGGACCATCTGCATGTCAGACACGTTTATTAAAACAAGTCTAAGGCACCAATGGCAGCAAACTAGAAGACAAACTTACCCATTTTAAATTCATTTATCATCTCAAATAGCTTCTCATCTTCTTCACATTTCTTCAAACATGTATCTGTGGCCCAAAACACATAGAAATATTATTAAATAAACACAAAAATTAAGATTTATTTCAGTTAACGAACTAGGGTATGATTTGCCCAGTTTAAAAGAAAGTCAGCAAGGCACTGGTTCACACAAAAACAAATTCTATCACACTGGTACAACAATTTCATACATGTGATTATTGACATAACAATGACATTAATAACTGGTGGCAAAAAGAATTTGGCAACAGAGAGCTCTTAGGGAAGCAAAGTTTTTTTAATTAATACAAAAGCTGCAAACAGCTTCCATAGCTTATCAAATGTCAGATTACCACCTGGTAGTTGTAACAGGATTTACAAAGTTTACAAATCTATACTTTTACATTATGAAGCAGCAATGAAACAGGCATCTCTAACAAGTGAGAGGCAGCCTATGTACACCGCTCAAAAAATGAAGGGAGCATATAAGCAACACAATATAACTTAAAAAAATTAACCTTTGGTGAAATCAAACTGCCCACTTAGGAAGAAGCACTGATTGACAACCAATTTCACATGCTGTTGTGCAAATAGAATAGACAACAGGTGGAAATTACTGTCAATAGGCAAGACCGACTCAATAAAGGAGTGATTCTGCTGGTGGGGAACAGGGACCACTTCTCAGTATCTATGCAGTCTTGCTCATAATTTGGTCACTTTTGAATGCTGGTGGTGCTTTCACAGTCGTAGCAGCATGAGACTGACTCTACATCTCACACAAGTGGCTCAGGTAGACCAGCTCATCCAGGAAGGCACATCAACACAAGCTGTGGCAAGAAGGTTTGCTGTGTGTTCCAGAGTTTGGAGGTGTTACCAGGAAACAGCCAAGTGCAAGGAAGAAAAGGAGGAGCCCTGCCAGAGCCTTGCAAAAGTACCTCAAGCAGGCCACAAATGTGCATGTGTCTGCACAAACGGTCAGAAACTGACTCTTTTAGGATGATATGAGGGCCTGACGTCCAAGATGGGGGTTGTGGTCACAGTCATACACCGTGCAGGATGTTTGGTATTTGCCAGAGAACACCAGCATTGGTAAATTTGCCACTGGTGCCATGTGCTCTTCACAGATGAAAGCAGGTTCTCCCTAAGCCGGGGGTCGGCAACCCTTCAGCGTCCCCCTGGAGCTTTTTCAAAAATGTATGAAAATTGATTTTCTTTTTTTTTTTTTTTGTTTGCAGGAGGTCAAACAACACTTAAGTATGTTTTCCAATGCTGTAAACATTTGTATAATAAATAAATTTAAACAATAATTTGCATCTAGATCAGTGGATACAACTTGCAACCAGCGTGACGCGGTACCAGGCAAACAAAGCGGTGAGTGCGTCTCGGACCACGGATCCCAAAGGGAAAAAAGGAAGATAGCTGATGAGAAGAGAGGATTCAAAGAATGGACCGAAACATTTGCTTTCATTATCAATGCGGAAAGATTGCCTGCATTTTTGCTTTGTAATGAGAGGTTGTCAAAAAAATAAAAAGAAAAATTTGGAAAGGCATTTCCAGGGAAAGCATGCTAAATGTGCAGCTGACCACAAAGTTGGGAGGGAGAGAAAAAATGCATTTGCAGAACTTCTGGATAAATTAGAGAGCAAAGATAGATTTAAGAAGTGCATTTCATCTCCAAACTCCACTACTGCTGCTAGTTTTGTTGCAAGGATGGAAAACCATCTACAGATCAAACAGGTAGCAATCTGGCGTATGTGAACTTTCTTCCATTTTTTCCCCAAATCCTAAAAATATAAATCACCCCAAGGAATGCTGGTGACGGAGGATTTGGGATTTCAGGGTTAGAGAGCTCTGCTCTGATGGGTGTCGGTTCCTGCTTGGTTCCTCATGACTCAATCAACTCCTTCCAACAGAAACACGTCCACCATAGAAAGATTCCTTTATTGTGGATCTACAATTTCATCAATGCAACAAAACTTAAACCATGCTGTGAAGCGGCACGCGATGGGAGCGTTCACTGCTCGTCCATCACCTCATGCTGCTATGTGACATTTGTTCCAGGATAAACATTTAATCATGAATGCTTATTACATATTTACGCCCACATAGTCCTTTTCTATAGTGGGATAATACACTTAGAGCCTGTGTTGCTATAAGAGGCATATAAAAGACTTAGATTTTTGCGGCTCCGGACAGATTTATTTTTTGTTTTTTTTTTGGTCCAATGTGGCTCTGTGAGCAGTTTGACAGACTTTGAGTCTGGAGACACCGTGGAGAGCGACCCGTTGCCTGCAACATCCTTAAGAGTGACCTGTTTGGCAGTGGGTCATTAATGGTATGGGGTGGCATTTCTTTCGAGGGCAGCACAGCCCTCCATGTGCGCCATTAGGTACCGAGATGAGATCCTCAGACCCCTTGTAAGAACATATGCAGGAGCAACTTTGTATAGAAGAAGTATGCAATGAAATTGTCACTCATTCTGATCTAGGATGTGTTATTTGAATGTTCCCTTCTTTTTTTTGAGCAGTGTCTTCTTCTATGATCTGAAACTGACAATTGTCCCTATTCTGTTAACCGTTTCTATAGGACAAGCTGACTAAAGCAAGACAAAATGATTTGCTTGGGGTAAAAATATATATACAATACCTTTATTTTCAGTGTGGTCTGAAACTACTAAAACAAATATAACAATAAAAGAATCTATTTATTGAAGCAAGTACTTAAAATAATGAAAAAATAGATTCGTGTCTGAAACTATCAGATGTGCATTGACTTCTGTTTTACAGGATTTACAAATACAAACCTCTATTAAGCAATATTATATCAATATGAAAAACTTATATGCTGAAACAAAACAAAGTCTGAGTTTGTATGCGTTATCATTCACCATATGAAAAATCTATATCTATATCACAAAAACATATAAAGCATTAAATAGTGCCTATTATCTGTGGGCATCAAATATTAGATGGCAAACTTTACAAAATCTTTCTAGAAGTAGCCAGTTGTTTTTAAAAACATCTTTATATGTTTATTATCAGTTATATATGGAGTCTTCCTCAACATAACATTTCCTTTTTTTTTTTTTTTTTTACAAATCTAGGTTATTTAATTAACTTTGCTAACTAGAGATTAAAAATGTTCTATATTGTCTATCAATATGGTAAATGCACTCAAATTCATATAGATATTTTTTATGTATTTTGTTTATCATTTATAGGTCTTTGTAATGCATGGTGCTAGCAGTCTCGTGCTAAATCTTGGTTTCAGATGTTCATATCAGAGCATAATAAATGACATAATAAATGAGATATGTTTTACTAAATAAATTAAACTGTTAAGATTCTTTTTCCTCTTCATGAAAAAATAAACAACTTACCAAGTGCAGACTTCAGAAGATGTCTGTTATTGTGACACAGCTCTTCATTCTTTTCAGTGATGTCTGCACATAGTTTAAGTTGTTTATTGCGGAACTCCTCCATTGCAGCTGTGATCCTTTCACCCAGATTTGGGTCGGTAATGGACGCCATGTTATTCTGGTACAATCTGTAAGTTCAACAAGAAAACAAATGGCAGCCTTTAGATTATTACAAAACACTATGAGAATCTATGCAGACCAGATTAGCAAAAATTTGTCAGGATTGCACAATGTATCAAAATGTAATGTTATTGAAATAAAACTGTATGCAATACACATATCTGGAAGAATAGTATCATTTAGATAATATGAATACCTGTAATATGGAGTGTGTGCATGAGTGGTTGCCCTGTTTGTATCTGTGTTGCCCTGTGATGGACTGGCGACCTGTCCAGGGTGTACCCCGCCTCTCACCCAATGACTGCTGGAGATAGGCACCAGAACCCCTAGTGACCCCACTGGGATTAAGTGTGTTAGAAGATGGATGGATGGATGTATCAATAGCTGTGATATATTTTTTGGCCTCATTTGATGAAGTGTAAAAATTTTGTAGAAGTTAAAGAGGTGTTGAGCTGATCAAAAAAGAGAAATTACAACTCTGCTGTTTTGTTGTTTAGATAGCACTAACTAGAAACATATTGTTCTATAAAACGTTGTGTTTAAGATGGCAATAAGAGGTGTTATTATTATGCACTTACTGGATAAAGTTAGTATAAATTTATACTATGGTTTGATTCATTTCATTATAGCACTGTCCTGCTAACATTGGACTTCCAGGCCCACTGAATCATTATCTGAGCATTGTTTCCTTTACTATGGTTAAAACATAGTCTAAAAGATTGAACAACATATGAGAGAAAGTAAAACCAGCAAATGTTTTAGATAAATTGTTTCAAAAAGTTTGAACTGATCAGATCTACTTACAGGAAATCAGTCCTCCCAACACCTTCAACAACCCTGTATTCATTCCCCTTTGGGTATCAATAAAATATTTTTGCATATAATCAACATAATAAACAGATTTCTTGAAAGGCTATAAAAAAAATAGGTTTGAATTATTGCACAGCAATAACTCCTTTTCACAACTTTACGTAAATCCATTCTTTTGTCTCATCAGGTTAGTCTAATGTTTACATTAAAGCTTGTCAAAGGGAAAAAAGCTGTTTAACGTTCAATAAAACAGAAAGCTCTTTGATTTTTGGACATACTTACATTAACTCTTTCCCGTGCAGATTTTTCATTATCAACAATTATTATCAACAATTCTGACAGCAGTAACGGTGCTAGCAGACAATGCTAGCATGTTTATGCTAACTGGATAACGTCATAAGCTTGTAAGGAGTAATTTCTCATATTTATTATGACATTTAAACCCAAAACATTCTTTCAAGCTGAAACCATTAGTTCGTCTGCACAAGAAGATGTTACTCACCTCTCGAATGTGTAACAAAGAACTGGCTCTATGACTTATTTATCGCTACGACATTAAATGTTTTCTTTGAAATCCGCGGTCTAAACGCACAGAAGGCGGTTACTGTATACCGGAAATTACGTATTTTCAATTTACTTCCCCATATAATGTTGTTTAACTGAAGTTAAAAGCACCTGAAATTTCACAACGTGATGAAATAAATCATGTTTGTGTTCATGAAACTGATATTGAATATTAAGATAATTTTTTTTTCAGCGTATCTTATTAGACATCATTTTGGGGTCATAACGGTCTCATACTCCGCCTGGTGGTGAATATTAGGAACTTCAATAAATTCAATAAAAAAAGGTTACCCTCAAAAATTTTATAGATTAATAAAAACAGAGATATATTTCAAATATGATCTCCTGCTAAATCTAACAACAGACTGTAATTCTTTCAGAGTATTAGAATATAAGTGTCAGGGTTCCTGTGTGTTAGTGAGTGCGAGTTTTGCATCTCCTCCAGAGAGGATCGTTGGGGAGAACCTATGTTACCTACACAGGTAAAGATAATGTTTCTAATCAGAGTGCTGAGCTTAAAAGAGCAGCAGAGACTCCACTCAGTGCTTGTTTCTTGTGTTGTTGTTTCATTGCTTTCTGGTCTCTTGCTTTCTTGGAGTGGTTTCCCTGATGTTTATTGGTCTGTTTTTCAGTATTTTTGGATTTTTGCCTCGGTTCCCCTTGGACTTTCATTAAATCTTCATTTGGGTCCTCAAAGCCTCCACACAACCTCAATAAGTTCACACAAACAAGAAAAATTATCTGATGCAGAAATATCTATCATGATGGTGACAACCTGGCAGCTTTTAAACACTCCACAGGGAGGTTATGCCACACATGTAACCTCTATAGAAGTTAGAAATTAATAGAGAATCAGAATAAACTTTTCTTTGCAATAATTTTGTAAACAATCAAGGCATATGCAAAAATAGCACAAACAGAACACAAAGAACAGTGAGGTATGAGGGATGGGTATCCTCTCATGAATCCTAAAGAATGGTGGTAGACAGCGTCAAAATTTTCTGGACAACTGATTTGGCAAAAACAGGTAGATAAGTTGCGGTGCAAATAAATTTCTTGGCTATCGCCTACAACTTTCATATTTCTTGTGTTAATCGATATCTGAACCAAACACAATATTAGAAGTGTGGCATCCAAAATCTTTTTTAAGAGAAAGTAAATATGGCATTTTACTTCAGATTTCAAGGTCTGTCAGTGAGGAGGATGAGTGGAGAGGCCAAACACCCAAGTTGCTTTAGGTTCAGAAGATGAGGGATGATTTTGGGACTTTTTTCTCTCTCCTTATAAGTAGAGATGGCTTTTATTATTTCTATCATGGCTAATAGTGTAAGATAGAAGTCTATCACTGGAATAAATAAAGGACTTTTAAACCCCAGTTCAAAAAGCAAAATATTTTATATGCTACACATAGTTGAAGGTGGGAGTCTTTCCCGTTGTTAATTTGTGAGTTGGTAAATAACATTTTAGGAACCACTGATGTGAAGAAGCACATTCAGAATCTTTAGACCCAGTGACCTGAGCTGAGGATGCCAGATGGGCCCTGTTTTTTTTAAGGGAAGCCCATTTTGTTGCTATGTTTGCTGTAGATGACTATTAATCAGCATGAAATGATGCATCAGGTTATGGGTAGCACTCTCTCTCTTCTGGTGTTTGCCATGGCTAATATTTAACATATGTACAGGCTATGTTCTGGGAAATCTCCTAATGGTTCCACTGTCAGGTTGTAAACAGTCTTTTGAACATGTCTTAAAAATGCTGACATCTCATGGCTTAGGAACACATTATTGTATGCCACATGAGCTCAGACAACTTGTACTTACTTGTTTTTTTCCATGGCTTTGATGAATGGTTTGTGATGCCTGGTATGGAATATAAAAGAGATGCTGGGGTAGGCAGGGAATCATGGTGCTACTGTGTCTGGTGCTGAGGAAAAAACAGGTGCTCTCAAAAAAAGGAAACATAATGGATTTTATTCACACATCAGGTGTCCTAACTATACAGCATCTGCAGAACAACTACAGAGAGTACGACAGCTTCCTTAGCTTCATGTCAAGAGTGGGTGATCCTCGTAATATTTTCTCTGTCTATTTCCCGCTTTGGTTCCATCTGAGTCATAATGTTGGTACCAAGATGATATGGGTGGCTGTTGTTGGGGACTGGTTCAATCTGATTTTCAAGTGGTAAGCCTGCTTGGATAATGGTATTGTATCTTTAAGTTTTGACCTTATAAATCCAAATCAAACATGTTTTTTCTCAGGATTCTGCATGGGCAGAGACCTTATTGGTGGGTTCATGAAACCCACTTGTTCCAGAATTGCTCAAAGCCTCATTTGGATCAGTTTCACATTACCTGTGAAACGGGGCCTGGTAAATATTTAAGCTTATATGGATAGAAAAAACAAAAAAAAACCCTTTTTTTTTATCGATTTTTTTTTTCTTTTTTTCAGGTAGCCCATCTGGTCACGCCATGGGCTCATCATGTGTGTGGTATGTGATGGTCACTTCTACTCTAAACTTCGCCAGGTCCTCCTGCGCCTCCTCTGCCTGGAGTTCTCAAAGGTGGATGTTTACGTGATGCTTTCACAAAGATGAAAGCATGTTTTTCATCACATGTCAAGCATTTTTTTCTTCTGTTGCAGGTTTTATCTCTTGAGGTCCATTTTGTGGATGGCTTTCTGGTTTGTTCAAATTAATGTTTGCATTTCCAGAGTCTTCATTGCAACACACTTCCCTCATCAGGTTCTCCTTGGTCTCCTCATTGGTATGTTCTGCTTCACATATTTGCTCATATATTTTAAGTGCTTTATGTTGTGACACCATTTTTTTGTTTTAATCTCTACAATGTTTAGGCATGCTTGTTGCTGAGGCATTTGACCATATCCCCTGGATCTATAACGCTACCCTTAAACTTTACCTCCAGGTCAATGGTTTTCTTCTCTCGTTTGCTGTGTTCTTTTATTTACTCCTAAAGCTTCTGGACTTTGATCCTTTGTGGTCAGTCACAAAAGCCAAGAGTTGGTGCGTAAATCCAGACTGGATCCACCTAGACACCACGCCGTTTGCCGGACTTTGGAGGAACCTGGGTGCCTTATTCGGTCTGGGACTTGCATTGAACTCAGAGATGTTTATTCAGAGCTGTAAAGGGAAGAACAGCTGTAAGAGTATATTTAAACTTATGTGCATGACAGCTAATCTTACCTTTTTGCAGCTGTATGATCTAATCAAGATGCCGACTCAAAGCGAGTTTCTGTTTTACATACTCTGCTTTTGCAAAAGCGCTTCAGTTCCTTTTGGCGTCATTGCAGTCATACCTTACTGTGTTCATGTATTAATCAGAGATGATGGGAGAAAACTCAGGTAATGAACATGTTTTCTTTTGTAACACCTTTTGCTGCAATTTGTTGGAAATTATGTCAAAATGTTATTGCACAAACATAAGCACTGAAAATACAATCCTATGTGGAAAACCAATGTATCTTGCTTAGTGTAATTAATGCATTGTCTCCTCTGATCCCAGTGATGATGTATATTTCAGTGTATTTCTTAGTATTTATTCTAATATTTACTTTTTTAAAGGTTATTAGAATTTGCAATTATTTTATTAAGGTTATTGCACAACTCTAAAACATGATTTATTAACCCCCCAAATAACAAACAATTAAAATGTAAGTTCGTTATATTGAAAAACACTTTGAAAAGACAAACATTTCAGCAAATGGATGATCATCTTCTTTTTGTTATTGCGCTGTAAAAATACACTATAAATACCATTTTACAATGTAATAAACCATAAAGTCACCTCTTTGAACCATGGTAATAAACATTTACTCTTCATTAAACTCTGATTCTGAATCCTTAACATAATTTTCTCTGTTAGCATTGTAAAAGTTTGTGTGTACATCCTGCTGGGGTGCGTTATATAATCTCTTGTGGGTCTCTTAGCAGGTTTTCAGATATCAATCATCCTAAAGATAATGAGGCAGAAGACAGGCTCTGATGTAACAAGATTAGATGGATTAATTAAACTCCTGAGCAGAGCCCCCAATTCATCTTTTCTCATTGTCTCTGGTTGCTTAGCATCCCAGGCACCAGAGGCCATCTGCTGAATGATGTAACTGCTGTGAGTTTGCCAAAACAAACTTAAAGAAAACTTAATGCTCCCGGGTACTGACAGTGCAAAAATAGACAACCAATGAGAAAGACGTGCAGTTTATCCAAAGTATCATATAAGTTACCCAGGGTTTTATGTTTAGAATACTTTGAATGAATATGGATTTTTCTGCATTTAAATGAGGAGGTGGAGGCTGTCAAGAAGGTCTAAGATTAGAGCTGCAATCACAAAACATGCAGAGAAAAATGCTGAAAAAATTACAATCAGAAATGTTGTTTGGGTCAAAATTGAAGTAATTTTAAAACTAGCTTTGCAGCAAATATTTATATTGAAAGCATGAATGTGTTCTTCTGTGTAATGAGTTTATTTTTCTTTTTTAAAATGTTAACTCACATTGTCTCGAGGACTCCAAGCCAGCAGTGCATAGGATTCTATGCAATTGCAAGGTTTGTTTTAAGCTTAGGTTGTATTTGAGCTAGGACTAAAGTTAAACCATTATTAAGGATGACAAAGGAAACACTATAATATGAGCATTATTTGAAAAGAAAAAAAATGGGGGGATTAAAATATCAAAAATGTATGTATTACTGAAGAAATCAAAAGGGGGAAAAATTAAAAAGGCAAAACTTGTAGATTTTTACTTTTTATTTTCACTCCACAGCAAAATTGAATATTGTTTTATCCTACTTAAGAATTGATTTTAATATGACAAAAGTTGAAAACATCATTACAACAAAAAGAAAAAAAAATAATAATAACAAAAAAAAAAAAAAAAACAATAACAACCAGAAAAACCAACATACAGTAAAACCAACAAAAAAGCCCAGGCATATTGTTCATTAATCCTTTTTATACATTACAGTAGACAAATAAATACTTAAACAATAGCTTCAATAATGCACATAACAATTTAAACAACAGATTCTTAAGGTGTTTTATCATAAGTAATGTGACATTTTTCCAATGGAATAACATACTATTCCAAATGTTAGAACATTTTTACAAAAAAAGCACCCTTAGAAAAAGTTAACTCGTCTCATTATTTGTTTTTCTCTTAGAAAGACAAATAATGCTATAATATCAGAAATTAGTTGGAACAAGTCATAAACACTGGTCAGAGCTATGTTGTTTTGATGCAAGTTATGTTTATTTCTGTAATTGTGTATCTTTTTATTGCTATGTAGATATGAAATACATATTTTTCAAATAGATAAATAAACTCTGTATCAGATTCCTAGCTTATATTTTTTACCATGCAGTCCTCACAGCACCACTGCATTCACAGTGATGTCAAGATTTTTTAATCAAATGTTTCTAATACTGTTTGTTGATTAGCTGATCGGAGCTCCTGTTGTGACCAATTTATAATAAGCACCCTTTTTGGCCATGAGTTTATCATGTGTGCCTTGTTCAATAACTACTCCTGCTGACATTACTGCTATAATGTCTGCAGTCTGGATGGTGGAGAGCCGGTGAGCGATGACGATGCAGGTTCGCCCTTTTCTTGCCTCATCCAGAGCAGTCTGAACAGTCTGGGAAAAGACAAAGCTCTGTCAAAAGGATGTTCTTCTGAATGTTGCTGCAATCATTTATTCCTATGCATCTTCTTTATTTATGTGATCAAAGCTGAAACTGTGTTTCACCTGTTCGCTTTCAGTGTCCAGAGCAGAAGTAGCCTCATCTAGCAGCAAGATCTTGGGATTACGGACAATTGCTCTGGCGATGGCAATGCGTTGCTTCTGTCCCCTTGACAGCTGTGAGCCTTGGGCACCCACCTGAGTCTCATATTTCTACCAGTTCAAGTTATAAGGAGAATAAAATAGTAACAGGTTAGCATTTATCCTTCACTAAATGAAGCCACTATTTTGCATTTTGCTGTATAACAGTTTCAAACTTTAATGTATTTAATCATCTTTAACGTGAAAGACCAACAAAAGGTAGTGTATTTACTTTAGTTCTATAAAGATGAACAAAAGAACGATTACTGTATCAATAATGCATGTATTATGACTTACTGTTCGTCTTCTGCAGTGAAACATTTTTAAACATAAAGCTAACCACATAAACATTATCTTTGCTTGATCACCTACAAACTTGCAAGTCTAAAACCAGGAATATTTTAGAAGATCTTATTTGGATTTAAATCAGATAAAAGGTTGACTGCAGTATTAAAATAAAAACTTTCTGACAGACAAATACTCTTCCTGATTGGCTTCAAAATTAAACTTCAGATTACACTACACTGTACCTATCATTTCAAATTGACATAACCAGAGCACTGTCTGATTTTTTGATTAATTTAGCCACTAAGTTAACATGATAATATGATAATAATATGATGTAATATAAAAGGTCACCATTAATATGAAGCTTTTTCACTCACATCTGGTAGAGACATAACAAAGTCATGAAGATGGGCCTTCTTTGCAGCCTCCACAACCTCCTCCATGCTAATGGTCCGAGTGTTATCTCCATACTGGATGTTCTCCGCTATGCTGCAGTCAAATAGAACTGGTTCCTGTGATACAATCCCAATCTGTGACCTCAGGAAGGGCACGTTGACGTTATGGGACGGGTGACCATCAATCAGCTGAAAGTAACATGGAACAATTTAACCAAATTGAATGTTTTATTTTGTTGTTGTATTTTTTGTAATCTGTGCCGTTTACATCTAAAATGAACAACACGCACCACTTGTCCCTCATCTGGATCATAGAACCTTTCCAGTAATTGAACGCTGGTGCTTTTCCCACAGCCGCTGCTCCCAACAAAAGCCAAAGTCTGACCAGGCTTCACAGAAACAACCAAGCCGCTCAGCACTTGAATGTCCGGTCTTGTCGGATACGTAAACTTGCAATTACAAAACTGGATCTCTCCTTTGAACATCTCCTATAGAGAGTAAACACAGTTCCATGAAATACACACTAAAATACGTTAATAAATACAAATTAACCATTCGATTGAAAGATATTCCAACTAAAAGCATTGGAAATGAACTGACCCATTTCTCTCCATCTGTATGACTGATGCTGATTTTTGGAATCCTGTCCAGCAGTTTAAAGAACTGAGCAGCGGCGATTTTGGCTTTGGCGTAATCTGGAGTGAAGGAGGAAGCTCTGCCCAGTGCCGTCCCACTGATCACCACAGCTGAAATCACCCTGGAAACAGAATCCAAAAGTTGAGCAATACTGTAAGGTGGAGTTTGAATCATTTTTAAAATGTTTTAACTGTACATTTAACCCACCTAAACACCAGCATGTATGGTAACCCTTCGGCTCTCACCAGGTAGCCTCCATATCTAAAAGAAGCAGCATATGCCATGAAGATGACACACTGGGCAAAACCGAAACAGAGTCCATAGACGTTGGCTCTCTTCTTGGCAGATTTATATGGAAGCTCAAGTTTTTGTTCATATATTTCCACAAATGAGCGCTCTTTGGCTAAACCCGCAACAGTCCTGATGTTGCCAAGAGCCTCGCTGGACACCTGGAGGAGAGACATTTTTCATAGCACTCAAACTCACTGCTAAAAGATAGTTGGATGATAAACGGAGCACTGATTAGGAAAACCAGCTCACCCGTCCTGCTGCTTCCATAGATTTTTTGTCTTCGTTTGCAAAGCCTGTCAGCATTTTGGCTTGGAATACACCAGATAGCCCAATAAGAGGCAGGAAGCACAAGATTACCAACGTTAACTTCCAGCTGAAGTAGAAGGCAATGATGAACGAAGCTCCAATGTTGGTCAGTGAGTTTACAATCATTCCAATCTGAGAACCTGTTGCCTGCAGAAATCATTACAGCCACATTTATAATTACCATTCGGAAGAACAGATCAATAAGCAAGATGAATAAGAAAAGCAACAATAAAGACTTACCCCCTGAACCATGGATGCATCTGTGGCCAGCCTGGTGGTCAAGGCTCCAGGACTGTTTGTTGGATCATCAAACCAGCCAACTTCTTGTTTTAGCATGGCCTGAAAGCCCACTTTCCTCAGACGGCGGGTTAGTAGTTCTCCAGACTTAGCAAAAGAATATCCCTAAAAGAAAAATATGAACAGCTTTGTTTGGAAACATATTTTTTTTGTTTCTCAGCTGCCGTGTTTTAAAGCAGACTGGATGGATGGATGGATGGATGGATGGATGGATGGATGGATGGATGGATGGATGGATGGATGGATGGATGGATGGATGGATGGATGGAT